AGGTGTCTTTAATAATGCTCAATCATCACTAAATTGTTCACTTAATTATCTTATTAACTTTAACATTCATTCAGTGTTCATTTAACACTCAGCTCAGAGTTTAATTGGGTCACTTAAAATTCCTTAATCCCATTGTTGAAGTTACATAAACAAATTATGTTTGTTTAATGTAACGCAGTTATGTGGACCTGTTTACATAATAAAAGTTAAAGTCAACATCATTTTTTTAGCGTAGATTAGAACATTTTAGAACATTTTACTATATTACTTAGTTAATAGTAGTTACTAGATTGTTATAGTTCCTGTGTGCATTCATTAATGATGGAAGAGTATTCTAAAGTGTTACCTTCTTTCTCATTTAAACTGTTAAATATAACAATATAATCTAACTTCATCACCATCTGATATTATCTATCACCTTAGTCTGGCACTGCTAGCTCCTATTGTAAATCACTATAGCTAGGACCAATCATTTGAAAACACTGTTATTCTGATCCTATAAAAACAATAAAGAGGTTCTCCCCACTCAATGACGCAACAGGTTCTCCCTACTCAGTGACGCGCCCACAAAAAAAACGAATTGAAAGTTCCCTGGTTATTAGCAATTCTTTTGTAAGGAATGTGCAAATAGAGATTTTAGCCACGAGCCAGAGCACCTGACATCAAAGCAAATTTAAAAGTTCTGGCTAATGCAAAACGTAAATATTCTCAGATTGTTATTCACATTGCTGCTAATGTTGTCTGACTTCGTCTGTCGATGATCACTAAAAATAACTTTAACTCTCTGGGGCCTGAGGGGGTTTTGGGGCCCTGGAGAAGTTTTGACATGCCCTGACGTGTGCTTTTTCAGTTGCTTATAAACATCTGGCCATGAATGCTCCAGTTCCCCCAGTGGTGGCCGTGAATGCTGCAGTTTCCCCAGTGGTCCGGTAGTCTCTGTCCCTGAAGCTTCGGATCTGCCCTGGCTCCCTGAGGTTCCACCTTGGACTCACGCTCCGCCCTGGACGCCTGCCCGGGCTGCTTCACCCTGGACACCTGTCAAGCCTGCTCCACCCTGGCTGCCTGCACAGCCGGCACCACCCTGGCCCTCAACATGGACTCCATACTCGCCGTCCTGGTTCTCTGCCAGGATTCCAGATCCGCCAGAGCCCGCCTGGACTGTCCCTCTGGTTCTGCCCTGGCCATCATCCAGGAATCCAGACCTGCCGGAGTCTCCTGGGTCTGTCCCTCCTGCACCATGGTCCTCAGCCAGGATTCCAGATCTGGAGGAGCCCGTCTGGTCTGTCCCTCCGGTTCTGCCCTGGCCTTCTGCCAGGACCCCAATCCCACCTGGCAATGAATTGGCCTCCCTCCCTCGTCTCTGTGTCATTTGCTTGGTATTTAAGAGGATAGTTAACTTTTTGATACTATTTGACATTCACACTATTTTAAATATTTAACATTGAACGTATTTGCAAATGTGACTTTGTCACTGCACTTTCTGTTTAAACTACGTATATATATATATATATATATATATATATATATGTGAAGAGTTCAGATGCAAAAGCCTCTAAATGCCATTTGAAATTTTCTTCAAGAATTTTATTTTTTATCAAGCTTGTATATTTAAGTTCAGTAATTTCACTTAAATGGCAATGAAGATTACCTATGAATTGCCATTTAAAGGAGAACTCCGGCGAACAATGAACCTTTGGTTTAATAAAACATCGGTACATAGTCAACCGTTCTCTGAGATTTGTTTTCATGATAATCGAATGTAAAGAGTTTTATCTCTAAAAACTGTTTAGCGTATAATGCTAGTAATGGGGGCATTCACCAAGTAAAAAGAAATCGCTAGTTTATACCACTAACAAGGCTCAAAATAGCCCCACACTAACGCTGTAACATAACGAGGCTCCATACATGCAAAACGAAGCATTGAGAACTGTGTAAGTGTACAGACCGTTTAATAAGAAGATACTTTATGAAGACAGTTCACTTCGTGTATACAGACAGGAGCCATCTTAAAAAATAGTCTCGATAAGTCAACCCACGAACATCGTGCTGAGTGATCTGAACTGTATGAAGTTCAACGAACTTCTGAACTGTATGAACGGCGTTCGGGGATCGACTTATCGAGACTATTTTTTCAAGATGGCTCCTGTCTGTATACGCGAAGTGAACTGTCTTCATAAAGCAGGGTTTTCAAGTCTCACGCATTGGCCGTGAGACACACGCAATCCAAACAGTTCACACGCTCACACGCCACACCGTGTATTTCTGTTGTTTACGAGCCGTAGGCACACAAAGTGAAGTTTCCTTCCGCCAGCACGTATCTCTCGGACAGATTGCGTTCGTTAGGTAATATAGACGCGCGAACACACGGAAGTTGACGGAACATTCTCGTCGTTACTAGGTAACCAACAACATCGGGTGAACACACGTTGAGATGGAGAAGGGAAGAAAGCTCGTCTAACATTTTTTTGGCTAGAACATTTGATATATAGCCCATCGTATATATTGATGCAGTCAAAAACTCTACAACTACTTTGCAACTACCTGGCCAGAAGCTTTGGCTCAGTTTGGCTAGCTTACTGTACATTACAGGTGAATATATAAGGGAAATGTTAGTGGGGATGGGAAGCAATGAAGATGTATTTCTTCATTTTATTTCAAATTATATATTATGCTGTATTAGTCTTTCTAGTTACATTAAGGCTACATGTATTAAAGCAGAGTGCTCTGGGTATTATTTTATATCCTGTCAAAACATACATTAATCATGCCATTGCATTTGTATTTTTCAAAGATGTCAGGGAAAAAGCAAAAAGATATTTGTGTACACACACACCTTAATATTCTAATATGCCCATTTGTTCACAATGTCCCACCACACAATAATCATTATACCAGTTCAACTAGACACATTCAAACTGTTTGGAGCAATTTTTTATATTTTTGTATTTTTTTGTATTTTCATTAATATAACATTACAGAGTAGGCTATATTTGATGTGATGAATTGCTCTGTCATTTATGACATTTACCAATTGTCATAATTTCAATTTGTGCTGGTTAATTATAAACAATGGGTGAAATTGTTTGGGGGCAGGGCTTAATTGGGGCTCCTCCCCTAACCGCATGTGATCTCACTCCAAGCTTTTGATAAAACTTGAGAATCCTGTCATAAAGTCTCTTCTTATTTAACGGTCTGTACACTTACACAGTTCTCAATGCTTCGTTTTGTATGTATGGAGCCTCATTATGTTACTGCGTTAGTGTCGGGCTATTTTGAGCCTTGTTAGTGGTATAAACTAGCGATTTCTTTTTACTTAGTGAATGCCCCCATTACTAGCATTATACGCAAAACAGTTTTTAGAGATAAAACTCTTTACATTCGATTATCATGAAAACAAAACTCAGAGAACGATTGACTAGGTACCGATGTTTTATTAGACCAAAGGTTCATTGTTCGCCGGAGTTCTCCTTTAAGTGAAATTACTGAATTTAAATATACAAGCTTGATAAAAAATTATTATTCTAGAAGAGAATTTCAAATGGCACTTAGAGGCTTTTGAATCTGAACTCTACATATATATATATATATATATATATATATACATTATATGAACTGGGGAATGTTGAAGCAGACAAATTTCTATCCTTAATAGTTCAAGTTTCTTGCCACAAAGCAAATGAAGTATTAGAAGTATGAATTAACCAACCATTCACTACTGAAACTTTTCTCTTCTCTGATACTGATTATACCACCTCTAATATCAGATTTTTCCAGTAACAATTATGATATGGGGAGTTTTATGTGCAATTTCCAAATCATCATTTAATAATTATTATAATTCCGGTAACATATAAAGGCCACCTTGTAGAAATTACCAGGCAGTGTTTCCCGAGAATGACCCAGCTCTCAAATCAATATAGCTAATTAACAGACAGTTCCTTATTGACTGGTTTTATAGACAGCATTTAATTGGGTATTGGTTCCAGCCTCAATCCTCTTTCTTTTCTTCATTGGTAATGACTACAGACCTGCAATGGAGAGTCAGAGTGATATAGAAAGACTTCAATAAAAGAGTCAGCGAGAAGTGGTAGAGAAGATGCTAGTGAGTGGTTGGTCTGATGGAGTTACTCTATTTAGTGCTAGAGCTTATGGCTGAAAAGGATCTCAATCCACCTATCATTTATTGTATACAGCATTGATGATCTTTAAGGGTCCAGGTGTACAGCACTCAAATTACACACTTTAAGATGCTGTGGCTAATGGACATAAGTGTAGGGACCTACGGCAATCCATTTAAGAATATCTCTAGGGAGCGGTGCTCAGAAAGGACGCATTAACATGATTTAAACACCACCTCAACACTTAAAGGATAAGAGAATCAAGACTTTTAATGCTCGGTTCTACTTCACTGATTGCACAGATGCCGAACTTTACATTTAAAATCTTAAAGAACGGTGGTGATGGTGGTTGTGTGTGTGGGTGTGTGTGTGTGTGGGGGGGGGGGGGGGATAAAATTACCCTTCCTTTAAATCCTTTTCAATAAAAGAAGAAGGTGCAGTTAAGCCCAGGGTTATTAAAAGTTTAAGAGGCAAAATCAGATTTTTCATTCCTTGAATCTTCACTTGACTTATTATCAGGGAATAATTTAATAATGTGGATAGTGGGACGTAGGACTTATATTGAGCCCTAAAGTCCTGAAAGCACATCAAAGACTGTCAAGTAATATGCTACAAACTATTTGCTGTCAATGACATTGAAAATGTCCAGTTCTTAAGGTGAAAAGTGTCATTTTTGTGCCACTAGTGACACCAAATTTAGAGGTACAATTTATTAACAAAATATCCTCCACTGAAGGAGTGTGATTAAAAAAAAAACAACGTTTTGTGCAAGCTGGGCACATTTTTTATATGTTATTGATGAAATGAAAAATACATTCACCATTGTTGTGCAAGAAAAAGAATGATTAGGTTACAACTGGCTCCCCATACCACAGAACCACAATATTTTCAGTGAAATCAAACTAGGAATGGCTTTTTTTTTTTTTGGTTTGATTTTGATCTTGATTTTGGTATTCATCAGCCATTAAATTATTGCTCTGCTACAGTAAATGGGATAGTTAATCCAAAAATGGAATTTCTATTCTCATCTTCATTCAAACCCATTAATATGAAGGAGAAAATGTTCAGCTTGGAATATAGTGTACATTCCTTTGGACCAATGTTTTGATTTCTATTTCTTTTCTTCTTATTTTAACTTTGACAGGCCCTGGAACTGCAGCATGGACTTTATGCAAATCATATACTTCTGTGTTTCTCAAAAGAAAGCAAGACGGATTTCCAACAACCTGAGGGAGAGAAACAAAAGCATTTTGGGGTGAACTATTCTAAATGAGGTGACAAATACCAGCTTTTACCAATTGATTTCCTATTTCTGATATTCTCATTCTTAAAAAGCTCAGTAATGACAAGTCTCAGTAATTTTGTTTCTTCAGTGTTCATCAATAGCTTTACTATTCTCTCTCTCTCTCTCTCTCTCTCTCTCTCTCTCTCTCTCTGTGTGTGTGTGTGTGTGTGTGTGTGTGCACATGCATTGTAAGATAAGCTCAGTATAGTGGTATTATGGTGAACAACTTAACTTTATGACATGAGTAATCGCTAATTAGCCATGTAGGAGGAATTGTCTGATATATCACCATATGGCTTGGAGAAAATAATATTTGCTAACATTTCCTTGGCAAATAAATATGTACAGCTTGTCATGCCATAAGAGGGAGAGAAGTATTCTAACATGCACTTAAGGGTGTCATCCATACCAGATTGTGCTTGTAGTAACAGCAATCTGAAAGAGTCTCTTTACAGCATATGAACCCACCACAGGAACAGATGTTCTAAATTACATTAACCTACATTAGTATCATAAATGGTGTATCTATCTATATATACACACACGCGCTAAATATCTTGAATCATAATTTGACTGTTGCTACAGAAAAAAGTTATTCTATGTGAAACGATCAGAATTCATCTTTCGGAGTTTGGGTGGCAGGTGTCCGTCCATGCGACCTCCTCCCCCAGCCATTCTCTGAAGTTTCGGCGGCAAGTCTGCAACCGACTTGCTGATGGCCTCTGTGGAAATCTTAGTCGCCTTGGTAACCTGCATTTCCTCGGAGACCCCAGGCACAGAACTGATGCGTTGGAGCTTCATGGGCAGTTCGCCAAGGCTGTATGTCATCTCTGATGTGGTGGAGCTCATTCTCAGCAGCTTCCTGGGCAGCCCTTCTCTACCTGTCATTTTCTGTACCTTGGTTGGTAATTTACTGGTGTTCTCTAGATCTTCCAGCAGCTCCAGACAGTCCGGGGAGCTGTCCTTCTCTCTACTGTTGCACAGTGATGGGGCCATGAGTGGAGAGGACATGAGTAATGCCTCATCCTGCTCCTTTGCGCTGTAGGGAGGTGTGGAAACCTCAAATGTAGCGTGGAACTGAGAATAATCCACTTTAAAGAATCCCTCCTCCAGAGAGATGACCGGGAAGAATCTGTGGCCCCAGAGCACCTCGTCCTCCGTGTACGATGTCCGTGCTTGACAAGTCATGCCTTTGACAGATGGGAGAATGAAAGAAATGGTCAGGGATTAATCAATCAGATAGAATTGGGAAAGGCATTGCTTTACTCTAAAGTATCATACGCAACTCTCTTGATAAGTACAGTGCTTGGAAGGCTTAACTGTGTTGATATTCCTCAAAATTTCTGGTTGAGATTGGTTCTAAACCAACATGTATTAAACACATTAAACATGTTAAGATATATTGTGTATAGACATTTTTTTTTCAGTAAATTTGTACTTTTGTGGTTTGACAGCTTAAAGTAAATGCTATATAAACTGCATAATATAAATCGCCATTTTTAATCTTTGAGTTTATGCTACTGCCCCTTAGGGATGCATCGAAACAGATTTCGCGATTACCCATGATTTAAAACGTCACGGTTAATTAATCGTAAAGGCTCGCCTACAAAGAGTGTTTCTGTTGCACAGAACGGGACTGTTGCAACTTGCACAAATCGAAAGCAAAGTTAATCCAGGTGGACTCCAGCAAAATAGAAATATCTAAAAAATAAAACAGCAAAAAACAAATAGATTGTTATACATCTATTACACAAAAGCAACAACAGCAACAACTGAAATAAAACAAAAATGATTTACAGATGCAAGCCTAGGCAGGGTTTCTCTTTATGAAATGCTTTTACAGGTTGTGCAATTTAGCCAATCTCAGGTAAATGATTTCAAGTTGATTTCTTAAAGGAGCCCTCTGGCATAAAAAATCAAATCATACATCATATTCCATACCAGATGGGGGCAGTATACCTCCAGAAATACCTCCGCGGCCGTGCGCAATCTCATGTCTTCAAACAACACGAGCGAGCGCTGTTTTGCTCTCTCTCCCTCGCGCGTATTAATCAAATCATTTGACATGATAGTAAAAGGTTGGAAGACCGCAGTTTCACGTGGAGCATTTGGAGATTTTTAGAGATTAGAGACTCAATGAACAACATCTCAATACTAAATTATAAAGGCCGTCTCATAGACAAGCCTGTGAATTTCGACGATATGGGAAAAATAAAACCCTGGCTATTATTTCTAGTTCTATGGTATTCGTTTTGTTCATATTACATTTTTTATCATTAATTTGAATTAATTTGACAGACAGCATTCCCTGATGTGGACCAAGCTAGCGCCTTTCAGACCTGCCAACTCTCACAAATTCACCGTGAGACACACAATTGACACTTTTCCCACACTCTCAAGCCACACATCAATTTTGTCATTCACAGAAAAAGGACACAGAGACCGATAGACTAAACAGAGCAAGTTAGTTATGATATAAAAAAATCTCAGCTCTCAGATTCTGTTAATTTTATTACGCAATTCAACAATAAATACACTTTTGGCACTTGTAAATGTTACACAACAGATCCCTAGCGCACATGAACCGATCATCTCTACTAGCTAATGGTAAAAGAACACGAACACTGTTGAAAGCTACAGTAGCCTATGTTACAACTTACCAAAATGTGAAGAGTTCAGATGCAAAAGCCTCTAAATGCCATTTGAAATTTTCTTCTAAAATGACCATTTTTATCAAGCTTGTATATTTAAGTTCAGTAATTTCACTTAAATGACAATTAATAGGTAATCTTCATTGCCATTTAAGTGAAATTACTAAACTTAAATATACAAGCTTGATAAAAATGATAATTTTAGAAGAAAATTTCAAATGGCATTTAGAGGCTTTTGCATCTGAACTCTTCATGTATTCCTCATGCATAATATCGACCAATCATTTTTTTTTTAACTCTTCCCTGAACTGAAATGTAGTGGGCCGTTTTGGTTACACTTTATTTTGATAGTCACTTTAGACATTCTACTAATTGTAAGCAACTTTTCAACTACATGTCAAGTAACTCTCATTAGAGTATTGTCAGTAGACTGTTAGGTAATGGTTAGGTGTTAGGCTTTGGGTTAGGAGAATAAGTTTACTTGTAGTCGCCAAGTTACTTATAGACGCTTTCATCAGACGCGTTGCCATGGTGATGAGCTGGCCCAAAGTTAACTTCCGTTCTGTTCGTTTATTAGTGTTTACTGGATAATATGGCATTCACTACAAATGCAGTGAAAGTTAAGGTGATGAGCAGGTTGTTGAGCTGTGGGGTGCAACCTGACCTAGTAGGGAGCAAACGCAATTTTTAAAAACAAAAATGTCAAGGTTTCCTATGAGGGAGACGGCGGTATTAAAATAGCCTTATCTGAGTGATAACCGGTACAGTGTTTCCCATACATTTATTAGTGGCAGCCCACCACATTATCAGCGCTGACCGCCACATATTGATTTCCGTGTTTTTGCGCGCAGCGCATATTCGCACGCTCTCTCTCTCTCTCTCTCTCTCTCTCTCTCTCTCTCGCAAACACATTGACAGCGGACCAGTCTGTGTATTGAATGGTTAGTATCGTAAACAGCGCTGCACAGATCCATCCAACATGTGGTCAATGTGGAGACCCACCTTAAAAAAAGGTTAGCAAGCATAGATAGATAGATAGATAGATAGATAGATAAATACTTTATTCATCCGTTAAGGAAATTCAAGTTTCCAGTAGCAACAATTAATAACAATTAAAAACTATCCAAAAAATTAAATTACAGGGATGCGTTATAAAGCCGTATCGCCTGAGGGACAAAAGACTTCCTCAGTCTGTCGGTGGAGCAGGACAAAGAGAGCATCCTGTCGCTAAAGGTGCTCTTCTGTCCAACAATGATGTTGTGCAGTGGGTGAGAGGCATTTTCCAGGATAGAAGAAAATTTACTAAGTGTCCTCCTCTCTGCCACGGATGTTAAAGAGTCAAGTTTCACCCCCACCACTGAACCAGCCTTCTTCACCAGCTTATCCAGCTGCATGGTGTCCCTTTTTTTAATGCCGCTCCCCCAACATACTACGGCATAGAAGAGGACACTAGCGACAACTGTCTGATAAAACATCTGCAGTAGCTTCTGACAGATATTGAAGGAGCCTAACCTTCTCAGAAAATATAGTCTACTCTGTCCCTTCCTATATAAAGCATCTATGTTTTTGGACCAGTCCAGTCTGTTGTCCAACTGCAGCCCCAGATATTTGTAAGACTGGACCACCTCCACACAGTCACCTTCGATAAATACAGGCTGCAGTTGGGGCCTCGGTCTCCGAAAGTCGATCACCATCTCCTTTTTTTTTTTTTAGTGTTCAGCTGTAGTTGGTTAAATCTACACCACCTCACAAATTCATCAATCAGTGTCCGATACTCCCCCTCATCTCCGTTCTTAATACACCCCACGATTGCAGTGTCATCAGAATACTTCTGTATGTGACACAATTTTGAGTTGTACCTAAACTCTGAGGTGTAGAGTGTGAACAAGACCGGGGAGAGCACTGTCCCCTGTGGTGCTCCCGTGCTGCTGAACACTCTCTCAGAGGTGCATTCTCTCAGACGAACGTACTGTGACCTCTCAGTAAGATAGTCCGTCACCCACGTTATTAGTTTTAAGTCCACACCCATCTCCTTCAGTTTGTCCTTCAATAGTGGGGGCTGGATGGTATTAAATGCGCTAGAGAAATCAAAAAACATGATTCTCACCGCGTTGCCACCCCTATCCAGGTATGAAAAAGACCGATGGAGCAGATAGAGAATGGCATCATCCACCCCCACCCTCTCCTGATATGCAAACTGCAGAGGGTCAAGCGCATGGTGGACCTGTGGTCTGAGGTGGTGTAACAGCAGCCGCTCCATGGTCTTCATAACGTGGGATGTCAGGGCAACTGGCCTAAAATCATTTGGCTCCTTAGGGTGTGGCTTTTTTGGTACTGGCACAATGCAGGACGTCTTCCACAGCACAGGAACCTTCCCCAAATGCAGACTCATGTTGAAAATATATTGTAATGGGTCACCAAGCTCTCTAGCACAGGCTTTGAGCAGTTTTGGACTTACTCCGTCTGGGCCAGCCGCTTTACTGGGACGGAGCCTTCTCAACTCCCCGCTCACTTGGGTTGCTGTGATAATGGGTAATGGAAGTGGGATATTAATCTCACATCCAGCACTGTTAATAACACTGCATGCAGGCGGGTAAGGTGTGGAAATAACAGCAGTACATGCCCCGGTAGCAGCGGTATTGGAGGACAGAGGGCAATCGAACCTGTTAAAAAATGCATTAAACTGGTTGGCCTTTTCCACATCCCCCTCCACAAGGTTCCCACGCTTCAAACCACAGCCAGTGATGGTCTTCATGCCCTCCCACACCTCCCTCATACTGTTTTGCCGTAACTTCTGCTCCTTTTTTCTTCTGTAAACATCTTTCGCTTCTTTCAGCCGGAACTTAAGCTCCCTCTGTATGCATCTTAACTGTTCCCTGTCACCAATCATAAAAGCCCTCTTCTTCTGGTTGAGGAGGTCTTTGATGTTGCTTGTGATCCAGGGTTTGTTGTTGGCAAAACAGCGTACAGATCTAGTAGGAACAACAATATCCATACAGAAGTTAATGTAGTCGGTTGTACAGCCAGTGATACCATCAATGTCCTCCCCATACGCCTCCTGCAGCATTCCCCAATCGTACACTGAAAACAGTCCTGCAGGGCTTCCTCCACCCCAGGAGACCATTTCCTGAAAGAACGTATGGTGATGGGTTCCCTTACAACTTTGGGCTTATAGTGAGGTTGGAGAAAAACAAGATTATGGTCTGATCTCCCCAGTGGTGGTAGAGAAATTGCAGTGTATGCATCCTTAACATTAGCATACAATAAGTCAATAGTTCTATTTCCTCTGGTGGTACAGTCAACATACTGATAAAAAGCAGACAGTGAGGAGTCCAGTGTGACGTGGTTAAAATCCCCAGAAATAATCATGAAAGCTTCTGGGTGCTGTGTCTGCAGTCTCGCGACAACCGAGTGGATGACGTCACATGCGACTTCAGCTTGTGCTCGCGGGGGAATGTAAACACAAGCCACGATAGTGTGTGAAAACTCTCTAGGCATGTAGTAAGGACGCAGACTTACAGCCAACAGCTCAATGTCCCTAACACAGGTTGTCATCTTCACAGTAATATGTCCAGGATTACACCATCTATTGTTGATAAATATCGCAAGCCCTCCTCCCTTGCGCTTCCCACTAGCCCTCGTATCTCTGTCTGCTCTGACTGTAGTGAAGCCAGGTAAGTCCAAGTTGGCGTCCGGGATGCTAGTTGTTAGCCATGTCTCGGTGAAACACAGTAAACTGCACTCCCTGTAGATCCTCACATTCTTCACCAATGCACCAATGCATGTAAGAAGCCTAATAAGAAGAGCTATGTTATTAACCTTATCAA